CTTCCGGAAATAACAAAACCTTGTTGCATGCGAGCATCATATGTTATATAACCTGTTTGCAATAGAAATGAATTTTTTCTGTCCAAAGGAGCTGGTTTAATTGTCATTGTGTTCATATATATATATATATATATATATTTTAAATATATATTATATATATTTATTTATATATATATATATATATAAAAATATGTTTATATTATGCATTTCTTTTTTCTGATGGCAGATTGCATCTAGCATGAAACAATCTGTCAAAAAAAAGTGTTTGACTTCTATTTCACTTTTATATTTTTATAGGCTCTATCTCTGATATTGAGCACTTTATCCCATAAATATAGCACATCTTAAGACTATATTTCTTTTTTATATATATATATATATATATATATATATATATATATATATATATTCATATTTATAATGCCCTATCTTGATATTTAGCACACTTTATCCCATAGATATAATCACACCTTTGACTATATATATATATATATATATATATATATATATATATATATATATATATATATATATATATATATGACAAGATTATTGATATAGAGAATTTGACGAGACTAATAAATTGTATCGTCAAGTTTTAAATTTAAAAAATCATGTTTAAAAATATAAGGGGTTTATAAAATAATAAAATAGATTTTCTGCAATTAATGAAATCATTATATTAGAAACCCCGATAAGTCATAATTTAGAAACTTACAATATCAGAGACGGCATTGATAAATACTGAACTTTATTATAATTGAGTCATATATATATATATATATATATATATATATATATATATATATATAAGTAAACATTGAAGTGAAATCCGAAGGTTGTTTTTAAGAGAGGAGAGACCAAAGACGAAAGATGAAACTTGAGGGAGAGGAACGCTAGAGAAGGAAGAGTCAAGTGATTAAAATTGTTTTCAAAAGAAAATAATAGAAAGAAATTTCAACAAAAAAAACTGATTGCATCTGCGTCTTATGCGATAGATGTACTATAATTGATAAGTTAGAAAAAGAGTGAGACCAGATGGTGGAATTCAGCTTAACATATAATAAGAAAGATAATAGGTTATTTCTATATGTCTCGCAATATTTTAATATTCAAATCCTACATTACAAACGTGTGAATATATATATATATATATATATATATATATCCGGAAAGTTTATATAGGGAAAAGGTTATAATTGCCATAACTGGAGAAAAATGTATATTTTTAATGAAAAAAAAGACAAACCGCAAATGTTTTACGTTATAATGTGGATTTTTCTTAAATGTATATATTATATTTTATTCTTCATATATATATATATATATATATATATATATATATATATATATATATATATATATATATATATATTTGTGGCAGTTATCCTTCTTTCATGCACATTTCATTGAATATGACAGACAAGGTGCTCATATTTAGTTTTTCATACAATTTCTTATGCGATCTAATATTTTTTTCTTTTCAACTTAAATTACAAACAAGACAAAACTAGAATTAAGGATATGATAAAAAAAATTCACAACACCAGATGACAATAGCAAAATAATAGATTAATTATTGATGACAAAAAATTTTAAACCTTTTACCTTATAGTTAAAAATAATAATTCACCTCCCAGAACAAAATTAAATAGGGCAAATATTATTTACGAATATAAATGCCCATTAAAGAATTGTAATCCTGATCAATCAAAATTCGTAAATAATTATATAGGCCACACTACAACATGTTTGACAAGCAAACTGACTCTACACCTTTCTGACAATAGGTCAATTAGATCTCATTTAAATATTCGTGGAGACCTACCGGACACTATTCGTAACATACTTGTTGACAACACAAATATAATAGCATCATCTACATGCAAAAAAAGGCTAAAAATAATGGAAGCCTTATTAATAAAAACAAAAAAACACAACACTTAATAATATTAATTTGAACATGGACACAATATCTTGACCGTGTTTTGAAAAATGAAAACATTTTTATAAAACATACATGCAACAAACTATTTCTTATTTAACAGTTAAAAAATTTATTCCTGAAAATGGCTAAATGTATAGCCGAAAGCGCTCGGATAAAAAGAACATTCGGACAGTTTTTGTATAATTTATCATCTGAAAAGAAAAAATTATAAAAAAAAAAAAAAAATAAAAATATCTGTCTGTCGTATTCAATGAAATGTGCATTAAGATATATATATATATATATATATATATATATATATATATATATATATATATATATATATATATATATATATTTATATTGTTCCTCTAATTGTCCTATATCTTTGTTACCTATTCACAATTTTTTTTTTTTTTTCAAAATGAATTTTTATTCCGACCACTGGGGAAGATTGTTCTAATTCCAGGGTCTCAAGTATACATAGCCTTATTTATAAAATATGTTGGTTGGATCCAATGACTTGACCCAAAGGGTTGTGAGTTCAATACCTTTTGTTTGCAAGGTGAACAAAAAACTTTATAGAGTTGAAATTTAAAGGATATAACTAGAAATCCCGAAGAGGCATGACACGTGGAACTAGAAGAATCTATCCCGGTGGACGAAATAAAGGGTCCAGTCCGAAATTTCAATCATCACCTGACGAAGCCCGGAGCGTGAATATGACAACAAAGATGATGACAACAATCCGAACAATGTAAATCTCAGAAATAGAGACATATATATATATATATATATATATATATATATATGTGTGTGTGTGTGTGTGTGTGTGTGTGTGACAGCTTATCTTCATTCAAACATGTTTCATTGAATAATATAGACACAGTACGTTTATTTGTTTTTATAATAATCCTTTCGTTTGACTAATCACTTTGTTGATGTTAAGATGAAAGTCATCAAGGAATACTTGTTGACAATATATAATATTGAAAGTCTTTCTTGTCTGAAGATCCCATTCAAAAAAAAATTTCTAAATATATAAATAAATTATTTCCTAAACAAAAATGGAGCCTTTAATTACGTTCTTTTTTTTTTAAAAATTAAATTATTCGCTCTGACTTAAATTGAGCTCTCAGGATTTCATCCTCCTTAGGATTATCCATACAGATTTGTTTTTTACTTTTAAACATTAAATACATACATATATATATATATATATATATATATATATATATATATATATATATATATATATATATATACACTATTTTTATAATAAGTTCAAATAATCAAGGCCCTTTATGTCAAAAGCAATCAACCAACATTCAACAAAATTTATTACGAGTGAAGCAGTCACGTGTTGAAGTGCATTTAACACGCTTTTAATGTTATTTTCTGTTTCTACCAATTTCTGGTTATATCAAAATATTTGGACGCTTGTTTTATATAAAAATCCATAACTACAACAGATAAATTTAAAATAATAAAACAAGTATGACAGTGCGCGTATTTTGTATTTTTTTTTAAATCACCATGAAAAAGATAACAGAATAAGTTTGTTATTGTAATTCACCCCAGTGGATGAAGTTGGAGGAGATCGAAAGTACTCGGGTATGAAAAAAACTACGACGACGTCCTTGATGAATTTTATCTTAATGTCAAGAAACTGATTAGAGAACTAGAAAGGATCATTATAAAAATAGACATAACATGTCTATATATTATTCAATAAAACATGTTTGAATATATATATATATATGTGTGTGTGTGTGTGTGTGTGTGTGTGCGTGTGCGTTATTATTACTATTATTTTCAACGTTATATTTAGTGAATTCACTTACTTGAGAAGTCATCCCTGTTTTTTTAAGCAATGTAAGTTTACGTCTACCGGCCTGTGTATTCGAGAGTCTTAATAAAAAGAAAGTGCCTTCTGCGAATGGTCCGAATCTGCGTCCTACTTTTAGGGGAGATCACCGTCTAACGTGACATGCATTAAACTGCTTCTTCAGGGTGGAAACCTTTCACAGCCCGGCAAGGTTCCGTTAGGTTTTTACAAATATATATCTCTCGTTTCTATCTATTGAAGCCTTTATCTACTAGGTTTATTTCAGTATCCATTGTAGTAAAAAATATATATATATATACATATATATATATATATATATATATATATATATATATATATATATATATATTTTTGTGAATTTTAAAGTCATACAATAGGGCGACAGTTCTGAGGATTGCATCTAGCATGAAACAGCCTATCGCCTCTAAGTGTTGACTTCTATGTTCACTTTTATATTTACACACGCTCTATCTCTGATATTGAGCACTTTATCCCATAAATATAGCACATCTTAAGACTTATATATATATATATATATATATATATATATATATATATATATATATATATATATATATATATGAGTGAGCGTGTTTTGTGTGTGTGTTTTTGGGCAAGGCTTTTATTTTTAGAATAAAAAGTAATAATGTGTTTTAAAATGGGAATCCCCTTAAATATATAGAATAAGTAACAAAATTGTTCTCTGTAGATAGATAGATAAATAGGTAGATAGATAATGAATAGACTGTGTTAGATAGATAGATAGATAGATAGATAGATAGATAGATAGATAGATAGATAGATAGATAGATAGATAGATTATGAACAGGCTGAGATAGATAGATTATGAACAGGCTGAGATAGATAGACAATGAACAAGCTGTGATAGATAGATAGATAGATAGATAGATAGATAGATAGATAGATAGATAGATAGATTCTTATACAGAACTTATATATCATGTAAACGAATATTAAAAAAAAAATCAATCGCGATAAAGAACAAAACCAAATGCGGTCGTCAATGTTGTGCGTCTAGACACGTCGGACGCCAAAAATGTAAAATCTAAAGTTAAACGTCGCGGCATTTTCAGGGATTCCTCTCGATGCATAACTATTACCGACGTTTGTTACGTTTCGTTTCCACCTCCTATACACAGATATATATATATATATGATTACATCTACAAAAGGAATCTAACGGAATGTTTCCAAGGACGAAACGCGTGTGACAGGATTTTTTTCCCATTTTCTCATTCAGTTACACACCATAGGCACACTAACTAAAAGTAATTAAATATTACATTTTATGCTAAATGAATAACTGACGATGCTTGCCTTTTGGAATATATGGAATATATATATATATATATATATATATATATATATATATATATAACAGAATTTCTGTTTTCACCACTACTATCCTTTTTACCATTTCCGGTAAAAAACACGCATGCGCATTGAAATCAAACGCATTCCTATTTTTTAAGTGTCTTTATTGTTCATTTTGTTGTTTTGGGGATTTTTTTTTTTTTTTTTGGAGATTGGGGTGTTGTCATGGTGTTTTATGGGTTTTTTTTGTTGTTGTTGTTGCTTTTTTTGTTTTGTTTTGTTTTTTTCCTTTTTGTTTTGTTTTCGGTGTATGTGAAATTATTTTTCCCAGACTTTTATTGCTTTGTATTGTTCTAAAATTCTTTCTTTTCTTTTAATCTCTCTCTCTCTCTCTCTCTCTCTCTCTCCCCTCTTATCTTTCGTTCTTTCTCTTTCTTTTGTTCTTTTCCTTCCGTCCTTCTATTTTAACCTATCCTGTCTTTTTTCTTTTCTTTTTCTTTCTCCTTTGTTTGTTTCTCTTTGTTTTTCTTTCTTCCTCTATTATTAATCGCTTGCTTTTCTTTCTTTTGTTTCTTTCATTCAGTCTTTCTTTCTGTCCTTTTTTCTTTCTGTCTTTCAGTCTTTCTTTCATTCTATCTTTCGTTCTTTCTTAACTGCCTTTCATTCATTCTTTTTTTACCGTCTTTCTTTCTTTCATTCTTTCTTTCTTCTATTCACTCTTTTTTCTTTCGTTCTTTCTTTCTCTCCTTCATTCACCCAGTCTTTCTTCTTCTTTTTTTTTCGTTTTTCATTCTTTCTTTCTTTCTTTCCTACACATTCTTTTTTTTATTTTTTTCTATTTTCCCCTTTTTCCATCTTTTGCTGCAAATTCTTTTTCTTTCCCCAACTTTTCCTTCTCCACCGCTCTCTCCTTCTCTCTTTCTCTTTCTCTCTGTGCCTACTCTCTCTTCCTCTTGTTCTTTCCTCTCTTCCTATCCCTCCCTTTACTCCACTTCTCAAACCCCCTCTTCCCCTCTCTCTCTCTCCTTATTCTCTCTTTCTCTTTTGTTTTAGCTACTCTTTCTCTATCACACTGTGCCTATTCTCTCTTCCTCTTTTGTTCTTCACTCTCTTCCTATCTCTCCCTTTTCTCCACGTTTCAAACCCCCCTCACCACCACCCTCTCTCTCTTTATCTCTGCCTATTCTCTCTTCCTTTTTTTGTTCTTCCCTTTATGCCTATCTCTCCCTTTTCTTCACTTCACAAATCCCTCTCTCTTTTTCTTCTTCTTCTCTCTCTCTCGTTTTATTCTCTTTTTCTCATTTGTTTTAGCCACTCTTTTTGATCTCTCTGTGCCTATTCTCTGTTCCTCTTTTGTTTTTTCCTCTCTTCTTATTCTCTCTCTTTTTTTTAGAAATCACACTCTCTCTCTCTCTCTCTCTCTCTCTCTCTTTCTCTCTATACTTTTTTTTATACTCAATTCTTCAATTAGATTTTCAGTATCCCCCTCCCGCGGCACCTCTCAAATCGATTTTCAATACTTTTTAGGTAAGGTAACCCCCATAAAAAAAATCTCTGCGAAATGTAAATCTTATATATATATATATATATATATATATATATAAACAAATCTTAACATTTTAACATGAACATATAATTATTTAGTATTAATGTTTTATATTTTTACCCTATTATTATTATTATTATTATTATTTCGTCTCCTTGCTTGCTTTTATATCCTTATCGAGATTAAATATCCAAAATTTTCTATTCTTGCTAACGAGGTTCTCCGGCCCGGTAGTGTGTTGTTTCGTTTAGTAACAAACTGATAACCACAAATATACTATTTTTATCGTTTTCTTTTTAATCAACCAATGGTGACTATTGACTAATTATTACTCTTCCTCTCTTTCTATCTTCCTTTCTACAATTGGCGGTTGTTGTTAGTCTCTCTTTGTTAAGAGACCAATTCATAAATGTAACGTCTTAGCCTCATTGATATCATAATCAATACTACAAAACATTAATCGATATATTATTCATATAAATCGATGCTTCTATATTTGCATACGTTTAGATTAAATATCTGTAGAAAGTGATAAACTGGTCTACAATGATTTTGGAAGGTCCCCACCGCTTATTTGAGGCGGGGATATACAGGGCGTATTTATTTATGTATTCGTATAAAATTGAGTAAGTGAATGCCTCGGGTCCTCGTCTGGGCATACACTCTTCACTTGGCTCAAGCCCTACCGACTGAAAACTGTTTAGCTGAAATATAATATGCGGAAAAGTGTGTTTTCTTTTTAATATATAAGAGAAAAAAAATAGATAGATAGATAGATAGATAGATAGATAGATAGATAGATAGATAGATAGATAGTGTTGAAGTAGCTATTAGGCCTAACCCCTACTTTTAAAGAATTGCGCTGGGCTTGAACGAGATCTAATCTCGAATGAGAAAGTTTTCATCATTTGTCAGCGCTGACAGTGGTTTGGCGAAATCGTTGTCGAAAAATGTAAACCCGACTATTTTTTTTTTAAATCTATTTCCAAATAAGTGACGGGTTTTATTATTGTTTTAATTGTCCCTTTCTTATTTTGGTGGGTATAATACTCAAATGTATCAAAAACTGTTTATATATTTATATATATATATATATATATATATATATATATATATATATACTTAAGTAGTCGTTCATAAATATCCGTTGACCTGACCCACATATTATATATATATTATCAATTTTTTGTTTATTTTTTGTGTACATTTTCAACTTCGGAAGTTGTTATAAAAACTGAATAATATTTTAATGAAAAAAAAAAATATATATATCTATATATACATATGTGTGTAAAAATTATTGTTTACCCAATTCTTTGCGTCTCCAAGACGAATATAAAGCGAAGAATTCTACAAGTTCTCTGTATGTTCTCACGGTGTAATTTAAAATGATATGGTCGTCTCTGAAAACCCTTTCGGAATGTTTGAAGAGACACCGACTTGAACCCGTCTATTTGGCAATGACCATGATTAATCTGCTTTCATTAATCCAGTTCCTTGCCGGGAATTTATCCAGTTTAAATTTTAAAGGAGAATAAATCAATAAATTCCCGATAAAACGATAAATCAAAATAATCTCTTAAATTAAAATAAAATGAAACGCAAAAAAACAATAACTAAAGAAACAAAACGTTTGACTCGAAACCGCCGTTAAGGATAGGAGCGCACCCTACCGCCGGTAATTAGAATTAAATATTTTACCTCTGGCGGCTCTGAGTGAAAAAGAATAAGAAACTTAATACGTAAAAAAGAAATTACAAGTTATCTTCTCCTCATGTATTTTACCTCGTGTGGGGACAGACAACAATGTCGACCTAAAATGGAGTTAAAATTAGAGAAAATAAAGAGAACATTTAAAGTATATTATAGCTTTTGTTTTAGATGAAACGTTCGTGAAAATAATTGAATGCTTGATAGATTTAGATAGAAAATTGTTTAAACCCGCCAAGGCCGGAGAACCAATTATTATTATTATTATTATTAATATTATTATTATTATTATTATTATTATTAATATTGAACCAATTTTTTCGACATTTATTTTGCCATGAAATTTTATTACTATCTTAAACAATTTTTACAGATATCTTTTTTTTTTATCTTTCTGTTTTACCATTTTTTCGGCGTCTGTTAAAATACAAATTAGTTTTTAGCTAGCAAGATGAATTAAAAAAAAAAAGATTACGATTACACATATTCTAATCTGTATTATTTATATACATGTATACGCATACAGATATACTTATATACATATTAATGAATTAATAAACAAATAAAAGAAATATATATATATATACACACACACATATTTATTTATTGTTAGTGAATGGATTATCATATGGGTCTTACATACTGTCGTGTCGAAAACAAAATCTGTTCATTATCATTTTTTACAAAGTTCTTGTTAATAGAACAAATAAAAAATACAATATACTTACCTAGTTAATACATATATATAAGTGTATATAATTATATATACATTTAACTTCATACATATATATATATATATGTACACACTTACAAACAAACACGTTTATACATATACATTTGCGCAAGCTTTATAGAAAATTAATTTTCTTCAGTTTATATAAAACAGTTTCTATGCTACACAATTTATATAATATCATTTAAAAAAAATCCGAAATATACTTACATATATATATATATATATATATATATATATATATATATATATATATGGGATAACGATATATAAATTTTTATGTATCAAGAACAGTTTAGAAGGAAAGATGTATACAAAGAGGAAACATTTTTCGTGTAAAACGTAGCCTGATGAAGTTCTAAGGAACGAAACGTGTCAAACAAAAACGTTTTCTACTTTGTCATATATACACTCCAGTTCAGCAGTTTGAGGACACCCCTGGTAATTTCTTAAATTGGCCCAAAAGGTTTTGTTTTTTTTTTACTTTAAATAAGAGAAAATTATTATACAAGGTTAATGTTATTATGACAAAAACAAAAAAAAAAGCATTTTATGATTAAATTTGGCTCTCGTCAAAGTATCCTCCTTCAGCCTTGATTACTGCAGCACAAATTTTTGGCATGCTGGTAAAAGTTTCTGTAAGTATAAGTTTGATAATTGATTCCATTCTTTTTTTCAATGACTCTAAGAGTTCTTTTCCATTTTTTTTTTTTTTTTTTTCACTCTTCTGTCATGTTCATCCTTTGCTAATTCTGGGGGTTGATTCAATCTTTTGAACTGTCGTATACATATATAGATATATATAGGTATATTTTATTATTTGCACAGGTGTGTGTGTGTGTGTGTGTGTGTGTGTGTGTGTGTGTGTGTGTGTGTGTGTGTGTGTGTGTGTGTGTGTGTCTCTGTGTGTATGTATGTATGTGTGACATAAAATTTGAACGCATATCTATTGGTTCAAATGTCTGCGTGTTCATTATAAAATCATATTCTGGTCGATGTTATAAAAACGTTACTTAGTTAAGTTTAAAAGTTATTTGTTTGAGGTGTTTGTTTTTTTTTTTTTTTTTTGATTGTTTTGTTTTTTGGGGTTTTTTTTGGCGTTTCTTTTCATTTTTAAGAGTTTCTAAGCGAATGGTGACTCCATTACAATTCCGTAACGAGCACTCCCTGACGATGTGTACCTGTGGCAGGTAGACGATAATGAATATGCTGTTTAAACATAAAAACCGTGCGTCTATTCAAACATGGGTACACACCAAAAATAACGTTTAAGGATATATATATATATATGTGTGTGTGTGTGTGTGTGTGTGTGTGTGTGTGTGTGTGTGTGTGTGTGTGTGTGAGTGTGAACGCTCGTGTGTGTCTGTGTGTGTGGATGTATAATGTGTGCGACTGCGTGTGTGTGTTTCTTAAACGCTAATATAATTATGAAGTGGGTGAAGAGCGCTTAATATCGAAGATAAAGAATTTATATATATATATAGATAGGTAGATAGATAGATAGATAGATAGACACACACACACACATATTAACTATTGTTAATATTGTTTAATATAAACAGAGCATTTACATAAATATGTGTGTCTATATAAATAACGTGCAACAATAAAATTTCTCAAAATAATTGTCGGACATGGTCTATTTCGTCGTATGTGACGTCATATATATATATATATATATATATATATATATAAAAAATGCTCTACCTTTTTGGGAAGGAGCTAAATATTCTCCGGTGTTAAATTTAGCATACACCCTATATATATATATATATATATATATATATATATATATATTATATATATATAAAGAAAAAAAAACATACCACTTTAAGAATATTTTATAATAATTTATTTCACAGAACCTTTCTAAAGGACTCTGGATCATTAGATAGTTCAATCCAAAAAAGAAACGAAAAATAAATTGAATTTATATATATATATATATATATATATATATATATATATATATATATATATATATATATAATAATCAGCATTGCATGGTGGGACCAGTTTATAGTTCCTATGATCTGAAAGATTGCATTAATGCGTGAACATGACAGTCAGGCAGTAACCTTTGCAATGTTGTTTTTCCTATTCGGATGATCTATCTATCTATCTATTTATCTATTTATTTATATATATATATATATATATATATATATATATGACACACGCTCACAAACACACACACCCTTAAACAAACATACATATAGAATTAATAGGCCCGTCAATGATATTTGAGAAAAAAAACAAACGAAAATAATAAGAATATTGGAATAAGATTGATTTTATATATATATATATATATATATATATATATATATATGCCCTTTGACTTTGATTGTAAAGTCGGAATTTTCGAACACGCCTGTGTCCTTTTTCAATGAGACAAGAAATAAACAAAGAAGTGAGATTCCTTCTTCGTCGGAATGCTGGCGTTGTTGGTTAGTGGGGATAATATATATATATATATATATATATATACTATCGCTCTATCTCCGGTAGTGAGCAATCTTCACCCATGAGTATAGTAATGCAAATTTTAAACTATATATATATATATATATATATATATATATATATACTAAATAACTGTGGATTCTAAATCTGTTTTACACTTTCTCTTCAGTTATATATATATATATATATATATATATATATATATATATATATATATATATATGTGTGTGTGTGAGAGGGAGAAAGAGAGAACGGAGAAAAAAAGAAAATAAATTCTGGATTATGATCTGACGGAATGGTAAACAGATAACAGGAATTTTTTTGTGTGTTTTGCCGTTGAAGCAATATTCATTAGAAAGAATAATTTTATTTCACAAGAATCTTTGTCTCCATTATCGACGCAACACAATCTTCAGCTGCTAAAAGCTTGTCTTCTTTTTTCTTTACTTTTCTTTTTTTTTTTTGGCTCAATGTGATTGTCATTTTGTCTCGCTAATGTAGATTCTGTTCATGTGAAAAAAATATTCTTTTCTTCTCATGATGCCGGACCATCGACAAAACGTGTCAAAATATTTCTTTTCCACTTTCAAGACAAACAAAAAAAGAACATCATTACACCCCAATTGCAAGGCAATAAAGCCACTAAGACACAAGGGGTTACTGTGTGTGAAAGAATAAGAAAAAAAGAGAAACATTATTAAGGAGCGAGAACAATAGAAGAAGAAAAATCAAAAGACAGCAGATAACGATTGACATTGCATTTAAATTTATTTCTAATCATTTCACCCCATGCAAGGCAGTAAAGCCACTAAGACACAAAGGGGTTACTGAGGTGTGAAAGAATAAGAAAAAAAAGAAACATTATTAAGAGAGCGAGAACAATAGAAGAAGAGGAATCAAGAAGACAGTTTTAACGATTGACATTGCATTT